ACCTAAAGATGATGCATGGACCATGTATTTTGATGGAGCTTCTAATATGCTTGGACGAGGGATTGGCACAGTGCTAATCTCTCCACAAGGAAAATACATTCCCATAACGGCAAGACTCAACTTCGATTGTACAAACAATATGGCTGAATACGAAGCTTGCGCGCTGGGAATCCAAGCAGCCATCAACAACGGTATCCTAAAGCTCAAAGTATTTGGTGATTCGGCCCTAGTCATCTACCAACTACGAGGTGAGTGGGAAGTCCGAAATCCCAAACTGATACCATATGTTGAGCACATCAAAGATTTGATACACCTCCTCCAAAGTGTCATCTTTGAATACATTCCAAGGGAGGAGAATCAGTTTGCCGACGCTCTTGCTACGCTCTCATCAATGTTCGCCTTGGATAGTGAGCATGAAATGCCCCTCATTAATATCCGGCGGCACGATAAGCAAGCGTTCTGCCTTCTGATAGATGAAACAGTTGATGATCATCCATGGTTCCATGACATCAAGCAATATTTGACAAAAGGGGAATATCCTGATGCGGCCAATGATAATGACAAGAAGCATATCCGTAGAAGGGCCATGGGATTTCTGCTAGTCGGCGAAACCCTCTACAAGAAAAATTATGACTCGGTCTTGTTGAGATGTATAGACCAAGTCGAAGCTCAAAATATGATCAAAGAAGTTCATGAGGGGGTTTTCGGTACCCATATCCCCGGGCCCGCCATGGCTAAAAAGATCCTCAGAGCGGGATACTATTGGTCAACCATGGAAAGGGATTGTTACCAATACGTGCGGAAATGCCATAAGTGTCAAGCATACGCCGACAACAGTAATGTCCCACCAACTGCACTCATCGTATTGGCTTCACCTTGGCCATTTGCAATGTGGGGCATGGATGTTATTGGACCCATCGAGCCGAAAGCATCCAATGGACATAGATTCATCCTTGTGGCCATTGACTACTTCACTAAATGGGTAGAAGCGACATCGTATGCTCATGTGACCCGAAAGGTGGTAACATCCTTCATTAAGAAAAACATTATATGCAGATACGGTATTCCCGACAAAATCATCACTGATAATGGATCCAATTTGAATAACAAAATGGTGGAAGAACTGTGCCAAGAATTCAAGATCCAACACCACAACTCTTCCCCATATCGGCCAAAGATGAATGGGGCAGTCGAGGCAGCCAATAAAAACATCAAGAAAATAGTGCAAAAGATGGTTGTCTCATTTAAAGACTGGCATGAGATGTTACCCTTCGCTCTTCATGGTTATAGGACTTCAGTACGCACATCTACAGGAGCTACTCCATTCTCCCTCGTCTATGGGATGGAGGCAGTTCT